CCTCCCCAACCGATGTGGGGTTTCATAATCAACCCCCTTCGGAGACCAGTGTCCTCGCTGGTATTCGTTCTTCTCTTCAATCAATGTGGGATCACACAATCCACCCCCTTTGAATTGGAGAGGGGGACGAGTGTCAACGAGGACGCTGGACCTCAATTGTGAGATCCCACATTGGTTGGGAAGGAAAACAAAACATTTTTTATAAGGGTATGGAAACCTCTCTCTAAGAACAATATCTGGGTTTGGGGGTTAGGTCTGACAGAGTTGCAGATCCATAATGCAATTCTTGAGTGACCTAGCTAATATTTAATGAAATAACAGAATAAACAAATATTCCAAACTTGCATAAAAGCCCATATCTTAGATAATTCCTCTGACCTCGCCAAATAGAAGAATCAATGTCACCGAGATTAAAACAGCACCCCAAGCTGTAACTAGCCTGTCAAGGAAAATAGGAAGTGCCTGCACGAACAGTTATATTTACTCTGTGTGGTCAACCTTCTACACACTAATTCGCTACACTTCAAAAAAATGTACCTCCATGGCTGCTGCATTGCAAATCAGTAGGGTGCACAGCAATAAATGCTGGTTTTTTACTACTGGCATTATCTTTGCTGTACAAAAGCAAGTGAATTATTATGAAGAGATTTTAATCACAACACAGAGACTCTGATTGAAGTTTAAAAAGAAAACCATTACAAACAGGTATAAGATACATTCCTCTGAACCTTAAGTCAGCGGAATTAGATTTCTAAAAATGATAAATTATCATATTTTTATTATCAAATGCATGACTTTTCAAGTGCCATTAGAAAAAGGAAAAAAAAAAAAAAAAAGAAAGAAAGACACATGCTTATGTTTTTTTATCTTCAAATAACATAATTTAACAAGATTAGTAAGAACTTTAAAGAATTAGGGAACATCCATTCCAATGTTTAAGTCAACCAAGCAAGCCTCTTGTTGCAGATTCTGAAGTTCATTAATGACAATTATATTTCTTAAATAAGATTACTGGTCAAACACCAAAATATTAATGAAGAAACTCCCCTAGACCTTAATTTTCAATAATGTCAACAAAAATCGAAGAAGCAAACTATCTCTAAGATCGAATGTGAGAGTTCTCATCAAAGAAAATACGAGACATAATTTAACACGCTCCATTGTGAAAGTTTTCTATGGTAACACAATCCTCCAGCCATTTTAGAGCTATTAGATCAACATGTCAATCGATCTGAGCATAGTTTAACTCTTCCAAGATCAAGTACCTCCCCTTACGTGTCATAGGTTCTAATCCCTCCCTTCTCCTCATCTATAAAGTATAATTGTCAAGTAAAACAAAACACAACATATCAAAAAAATTTAGCCAGATAGAATAATAAGAAAAGAACTTCAAGAAACAAAAAGAAGAAACTCCCTTGCACCTTAGGGTCTAAAGGATCTTCCAAAGTCATCCCAAACTAGTGGGTAACTTTTCAGCTACAGTTTGACACTGTTACATTTTGACCATTGATACATCCTTATAGAGGACTAAAAGCTAGTAGAAAGTACATTGAAAAAGGCGTCGTATTGATCCTTTTTTTGACCCACCCAATTTGGGGGAAGGAACAAATGAAGAAATGGAGATAAAAAAAAAAATGAAGAATCAAAACAGAACAATATAATTTATCAGACTTCCTCACACCCGACACCCGATTAGAAATCACGACTCTCCACAATGGTATAACATTAATGGTATAATATTGTCCACTTTGAGCATAAGCTTTCGTGGTTTTACTTTTGGCTTCCCCAAAAGGCTTCGTGCCAATGAAGATATATTCCTTCTTTATAAACCCATGATCAACCCCTTAATTAGTCGATGTGGGACTCTCCAATAACAATCCTTCCCTCGAACAAAGTATATCATAGAACCTCCCTGAAGTTTATGGAGTCGAACAGCAAGCCCAGCATAACACATCAAGAAGCAGATGGGACCAATCTTTTAATCCTTATCCAATTACATGATCAACCCCTTAATTAGTCGATGTGGGACTCTCCAATAACAATCCTTCCCTCGAACAAAGTATATCATAGAACCTCCCTGAGGTTTATGGAGTCGAACAGCAAGCCCAGCATAACACATCAAGAAGCAGATGGGAACAATCTTTTAATCCTTATCCAATTACATGTCAGTTCCCTTTCCTCACTTAGATGCTCCCCAAAAACAGATTCAACATATTCCATCAACGGTGAATCTCAAGGTTTTTTTCCCCTCATATTTCCAAGTCAAAAAAGAAAAACAGGGGAAGCCTCAAATCAACATTAGACACGATGAAAACAAATTGGCTGTAGATAACAATAAAATATACCCAATCAAAAAGAAAAGGGGGAAAAAGAGGAATAACAGACAACATAACAATTAGTACTATGAACTAGTCGCCAAAAAAAAAAAAATCGAATAGGTACAGTAAACGGCCCCACACAACAAACTCGTTCATCCAATTCCACCTCACATTTCCGGAGTGGGAAAGCGGATCAATTAACCATAAAAAGAAAGAGAAATTTTACCGGCGTACTTGCGATCCTTGGGGGTACCGGACTTGGCAAGAACTTCGAGATCGACGATGCTCATGGACATAAGGCCGAGGGTGAGGCCGGACATCAAGCCGGCGAAGATGACCAAGAAGGCGATGATGAGTACATGGATGAAGAAATTAGTGCTGCAGCATTCGTATTCAACAGCCATTGAATTGAGAGGAAAGCGCGTTTGACGACGAGTTCAGCTTCAGAGGCCGGCGTTGAGTTGAAGGCGACGGAGAAGGTCCATTAACGAAACAGTTGCAGAGAATATACGTTTGTTTGGGGAAGAGAGAGAGGAGAGAGAAAGTGAACGTGTACAGTAGAGAGAGAGAGAGAGAGGGATGGAGGAAGAAGATGATGATGCCGATGGATAGGGGAAGTGAGCGAAGCGAAGGTAACGGAAGACGCCATGTCCGGTGATATTAATAGGGACCTAACTGCAATAATCACAAATTTCAACATTTAGTTATTTTTTTTGCTAAATAATAATAATAATAATAATAAATGTTAATACGTCATTCATTTTCAAAATTTTAATATATATTTTCAAAAATAAAAATTAAAAATTATTTTTAAATGTTGTTAGAGAATTATTAAATGAAATAAAAATATAAAAAAAAATTATTATTAGTTCGATTTAACTCAATATAGTTGTACGAGAACTCATGAACTAATCAAATCCATAACGTGTATATTACTTAACCTACACTATACAAGTTAAGTTGAGTTGATCGAGTTTTTCAGGTCATCAGATTTTTTGAACACTTCAACTAGACAGACGTTTTGATTTTGAACGCCATAATTTATGTAAATTCTACTATGGCTCAACGTGTTGAATTATACTTGAGTCAGTGCATTGGCTAACGATTACCATTGTCAACCACTCTCATTTCATACTACAATTTCGTTATATTCACATTCATTTCACACCCAGTTTTCGATAGCGTAAAATTGTTAGTGTCGTTGAGGGTCTTTTTAATGAGTCGAGACTCGAATTCTCATAAGAAGAAACATGTTACTCGTCTTGTAGTTTAGGTTTTTTTAAAATTATTATTATTAGAAGTAATTTTAGAGGTAAATTTTAAATAAAATTAATTGTCTTTATTTTCAAACATGGGATAAAATAAAAATAAAAAAAACATTATCTTCCAAAATTGTTTTAATCCATAAATTTTAGGCAAAGTATGGATTAGTTGTAATTTTCCAAATTTGGGAAATTCATGGATAATATATTCTCCATTTCTATTCTTGTATTTTAAAATAAATAAAGCAATCCACGTGGCAGGGTGTGTAATTACCATTTTCACCCTCATGTTGGTCTATCTAGTCATAAGCCACAAATCACGAATAAATAAAGTCTTCGTAATTTCGTGGATTAAAATTAGTTTTTATTAAAATTGGATAAATAATAAGAATACACAAAGTGGCACGTTGGTTGGGAAGGAGAACAAATCACCCTTTATAAGGGCGTGGAAACCTTCCCCTAGCAGACGCGTTTTAAAGCCTTGAGGGAAAGCCTAAAGAGAACAATATCTGCTAGCGGTGTATGATTGGGTTATGAATTTATTTTGGTTTCGTAAATGAAAAGTTTTATAGATTGGATTGGTTCATTCGTTAGGAATGAAAAACTCTGATACCATGGTAAGAATGATAAGTTCTGATTGATATCGAACGAGAAATTTGAAGATGCTTATAATGTAGTCTTGATATTGGATGATCGAGAATAGTTTGCTAGCCACAGCTCTCATTCTAGGAGAATGATCGAGAATATTGGCAGCCAATTCAAGATTAGAAGGTAGCTGTTGATGACTGAATCTCGATACCATCAAAGTTTTTGGTTGAAGGGAGTACTCGAATATATTTTATATAGCCGTAATTAGTTAGAATCTTATATTTGATATATTTTATCTCGATACCACCTACGTTTCTTGGACTTTCAGTTTCAATCCACGTATGTTTTTCATTCTTAATACGGTGGGTAACCAAATCCAGCAAATTTATTGTTAATTTTAAAAAGTATATACAATATTTAATTTATATTTATTAAATTTAATGATTAGTCTTTTTCATTATAACCATCACGTAAATCACGCACAACAAAAAGCATACACATCTTGTAACGATCAATTTTTCTAAATCTCGACCGACGAAGATCATTAGGAAGTTCATGCTCTCATCGCGTGAAAATCTAAGTGTTGAAAATACTCTGTAAGTACTCTTAACGGGGTTAGATAGATATGCATAGTAAAATGTAAAACTCTAAAAGAAAACTATTCATCTCGAACCAATGATTAAAACTAGGGTCTAAATTTATGAATGATGTGTTATATGAACATAACTCTCCACAATGACATGATATTGTCCACTTGAAATATTTTAATTTATTATTATTTTTTTTGTGTGACAATTAGTATTAAAAAATTCAAGATTTTCAGGGAGGGTCTCGAGGACAAACACAGGGCTCTGCCTTCTCCCCAGCTTTGAGACTGAAACAAGCGAAACTCAGATCCGAATCCATCTCCAAGATCTGAAACTCCACCCCATCTTTCCCTTCCATTACTGTAAGCTTCGATTCTCTCTATGTTCTTCTTCATTTCGCATTCTCATCCACTTTCACTGTTCCAATTTGCGTTCGTTTCATCTTGATTCTCTTCAATTTGCCGCCTTTATCATATCTTGTGTCTTTCTCTTGTAAGGCATTTGATTTCGTATGCTATTAGTTGTGCGTGTGTTCTGATTCCTGCAAAAAATTCCGCGTCGGTTGTCTTGGCAGGAATTTCGAGAATTGATCGCTGGTTTTCCTTTTGGATTTTCTTGATATTAAGTTATATGGATTCTTTTGATATTGATAACTGTCGGGCTACTTCGTAATCTCATTAGGCCAATCCATGATAGTTTAATTATTAAGTTATATAATTGGATCTATACAAAACGTTATATAATTGGTTCGCATTAATTTTCTGATCCAGATTAGGAGAGTTGATCTCCTGTGAACTTCGAATTTCATTTGCTATTTTCTTTGTTGTATATAATTTTTTTTCTTTTCTTTTACGTTAATCCCTTATTTATTTTTAATTTATTGCAACCTTAATCGAAAGGAAATGGGGTTTTGAAAAAGAATTCTTATGATTGTTTAATACTTGCGAGTAACTCCTGAGCCAAGTCAATCGGATTCCATATGCAAATTAATTAATTAGTCGTTCAGTCTTCAATAACTTAATTGAATTTGATCATTTAATCCAACTTTGAAAGGGGTATGAACTTTTGGCTCAATTTCTCAAGTTAGTGAGGTGCTTTCTACTCCTCCATGTTTAGTAGGTCGGTATTGTTTCTCAAAATTCATTGGTTCGTCTTAGTTAAACGATGAAATACCTTGTGAATATGCCATGTTGGTCCTCTTCAGGCATATTCAATTTTCAGAGCATTTGGCAATGCTTTGAGATAAAAATGGCATCTTGGAATATGCTGAAAAGATTGTAGCAAGTTCGACTGCATTGAGTTTTTTTAATTAAATAGTGAACACGTAGCCGTTTCATGTTATTATAAGAGAATCAGGCTAGTATATCTGTGAAACCGTGCCTCTTTTTCTGATTTGGAGTTCTGACATAATTTGGGGCACAAGTGAAAATATGTACTTGGAAACGGTGTTATCAAATATTGATGAACAAGTGTGGCTTTACAGGTTTCCTACTATTACAAAACCATGTCAAGGAGGCCAGTAAATCCTTCTCGACGTCTTGTTGATGGTGGGAGTCTTCCGTTTGTCGGTGTAATACAGTCCAAGTCACGCTCATCACCTTTGCTGACCATAGGGCTTGTTGTGGTACTTCTCTTTGCTAATATCCTCATTATTTCACTTCGAACATACAAAGAAAACATGAAGCATTGAGGTTCCTTTTATTTGTGGGGGGAGGGGTAGGGCGGGGGTGTAGAGGGGTCAAATGAGGAGAAAATAACTGAAAGAATATTACCTTCTCATCTCCTGAGAATAAATGTTGTTAGCACTAACTTTTAATTTTCTATGTTTAAAAACCTCAGGCTGCGATTCTTCTTGTTGGATTCTGTTACCATCAATCAGGTCTTTTTTTTATCTCTCATCTTCATGAATTTTAACTTTTTTTTACATTTTTTTATCAAGAATCTTTCCCTTGGTATTACCACCATCACCATCAATGTGTTGTTCCTTTGTTGTAGGATTCTAGATTATCATTTTCTCCATTAACTTTTAATAAATGTTATGTTCACAGCCAATAAAATGCGAACCCTTTATGATGTTTTCATCAATATGCCTACCTATTTTATATTTTGGCTTGCATCTTCCACTCATTGACAACCATTCCTTTTGAGATACGACCCAAAACTGTTTCTTTATTTACTACTATGACTTCCGTTTAGTTCTACTACTCAATCTTTTAATTTATAGCTTTCAGTATTGCAACGAATTGACAGCTGCTCGGCATCATATTCTTATTTTGGCCACACTCTGCTGGAAATGTCGTCTTTCCACTCAAAGAGTACTATCTGAGAAATACATTTGGCCAAGCTGCTTTATTAATATATTCAGTCACTACCTCAAAAAAAAAAAAAAAAAAAAAAAAAAAAAAAAAAAAAAAAAAAAATGTTCTGTCACTGGTATAGTCAAGAACAGCACACTTAAGGCACTGTACTTTGAAACTACTACTTGATCAACTCAATAGCTTTAATTATCTAGAAATACTTGATATCTAACAATGATTTCTTGCTTTAATTAGTTCGCAAAGAGACAAACCACTAGCTCTAGCTGAAGTTACACATATTCAAAATGGATATCTCCTGCTTGCAGAACTATGTGAAACTGATAGCAAAGAAGTAAGAAAAAGAGTGTGCATGTTTTTGTAACTGTTAACAGATCTGTCAGCTAGGCTTATGAACAGTTTTTTGATGTCGATAATTGAAAATGCTCCATTGCTGATGTCATGTGATGTTCCCTCTTTGCACAATGTAATTACTCTATTTGTTGGCTTATTCATTGTCAATTTGCATTACAGGTGGATCAAGAAGCAATATAGAGGCTGTGAGTAAATTTGAAGGTGATGTATGTTACTTTTTGTTTTGAGTGAAGTTTAGTTTCACCAAAATTTCAAGCCCGACATGCATTATTCATTGATCTGGAGGCACAATAATTGCTTACAATTTATATATTTTCTTTTCCATCAGGCATGAAACTATATTCTGTACAGTATCTATATTATAATGTATCTGCACTCTACGTTTTTCCTCTCTTTTGGTTCTTGACATGCCTATTGCTCATCACTATCTGCCTCTAGCTTCCTATGATGGAATTCAAGTCTCCTCTGTGTTTGATGCTTCCCAAACCAAGCTTCTTTATTTAATTCGAAAGCAAATATATTCAAATAATTTCATCGAGTCGATATTTTTTTTGCTAATATCTATGAAATACATGTTTCCTCTATAAAAAAAATATTTTTTTGCTAAAGATTTATATTTATGTACTTTTTTAAAACTATATATGTGCCTTGAGGTTCATGCTTTGTTTTTATGCCTTGCGTTGTGTTACAAAGATCTCTTCTACCTGAATGTGCCAAATGCGTTAAAACAGTGGAACTGGAAAGCGAATTAATGCTTTATTTAATTCATCGCGTCTAGATTGATTTAGTTTTGTTAATCATTACCGACTACAGTAATCATAAAAAATTCATATTCTTAAATCAAGTACCATAGGCAGGAAAAAATTGGGAAATTTCCAAGTTAGAAGATCTGAAGCATATATATGATGGATGCAGGTGGAAATTCATGCACAGCAGAAATCCAACGAGCAATACCCATTCTAAAGAAAGCATATGGAGATAGCATGCATAAAGTATTGCATCTAGGTCCTGATACTTGTTCAGTGGTGTCTAAATTGTTAAAAGAAGAGGATACAGAAGCATGGGGTGTGGAGCCCTATGATTTGGAAGATGCTGATGCCAGTTGCAGAAGCCTTGTGCGGAAGGGCTTTGTGCGCGCTGCTGATATTAAGTTTCCCCTGCCATATAGAGCAAAGTCATTTTCTCTTGTCATTGTTTCAGATGCATTGGATTACTTGTCTCCCAGATACCTTAACAGCACTCTTCCAGAACTGGCCAGGGTTTCTGCTGACGGCATCGTTATATTTACCGGTAAACCCCTCTTACTATGTTTTTATTTGCATCATTGGAAATTATTTTCTTTTCTATACAATTAATCTTGTTGAATGAGGTTGATTTATAGCATGTACTGCGTAATCTGGTTATGGGTGGGGGAAAACCTTAACTCATTGGGCGCCTGATTATTGTTTTAAGAGCCTAGAAGGATTTCACTAGTTACACTTCCAATGGTGTTCGTTCATTCACCTTCTCACTTTGTGATAACATTGTACAATAACTGTGAGATCCCATATCAATTGGAGAGAATGAAACATTTTTTATAAGTGGGTGGAATTTCTTCCTAGCAGACGCATTTTAAAAACCTTGAGGGGGAGTTTGAAAAGGAAAGCCTAAAGAGGACAATATCTGGTAGCGGTGGGCTTGGGCGGTTACCAATAGTATCAGAGTTAGACACTGGATGATGTGCCAGCAAGGACACGGGCCCCTAAGGGGGGGAGGGGGGTGGATTGAGGGGTCTCACATCGATTGGAGAAGGGAATGAATGCTAGTGAGGACGCTGGGCCCTGAAGGGGAGTGGATTGTGAGATCCCACATCGGTTGGGGAGGAGAACAAAATATTCTTTATAAGAGTGTGAAAACCTCTCCCTAGCAGACACGTTTGAAAAATATTGAAGGGATGTCTGAAAGGGAAGGCGCAAAGAGGAAATATCTGCTAACGGTGGGCTTGGGTTGAAGTTATTGTTCAATAATCTTTAATGGTACCTAATCATTTTCTCAATCAATGCATATTGGTCTGTGATCTTTTCTATTCTGTCTATATTCTGATAAATAGCACCTGACAGATTTCTTGAAGTTCTCACTCTACAGCCCAATCGCGTAGTCTGTGGGGGCTTCTCAAGAATGTCTCCAGTTATGAAGCGACTCATTTCTATCATTCTAATGATTGTACTGACTATCTATTCTCTCCTAATGGCAGAAAATAGAGTTCTATGATCTGAATATATTAGGAAATTCAAGAGCCTACCATTTTGTGTCATAAATTCATCTCTCTCTCTTTTCACTGCTGCAATTGCAGGTTACCCAGGTCAACAGAAGGCTAAACCTTCGGATTTATCCAAATTTGGCCGTCCAGTAAGTACCTTTTTTAAATACTCGAAATAAAGCTTGCATTAATCAAGTTAAAAGAGAGATAGTTCTCAAGAATTTAATTATTAGTTAGAAAGTTTTCAAGTAGTTTGATGACTGAAACTCCAGACTGATCAAAGATTATGCAATGGACATACAATTAGATGAGCCATCAAACATTGTGAACATGCATAAAGACTCGAAATTATGAACTTGAAAAAACGATTCTATACATAAAAAAACTGATTCATTGCTCCCTTTCTTATTGTGTTTGCCGAGCCTATTTTCCATTGAGATAGATAACGCTAAAACATTTGGTTGTCGTGAAGGCGAAATTGCGAAGCTCGTCGTGGTGGATTAGGTTTTTTGTTCAGACAAGTTTAGAAGAGAATGAAGGTGCTGTAAAGAAGTTTGATCAGGCTGCAACTAAGAGGTCCTACAGGCCAGCTTGCCAAGTCTTCCATCTCAAATCATACTCTTGAGAATCTCAGAACTGTATCTATCTATCTTCGTAAGCCTCTGTTTGCACGAAGTGCTTCTTAGTATCTCTTCCTTTTTCTTTTTTTCATTTTCATTTTGTTTTTTGAAGAGCAACATGGACACTGCAGAGCCATTATTTATGTTCAGATTTTCTTTATATTAGCTCTCCCTAATTTATTATGCATTTTCAGTGAAGCAAATTGCTATAGGTTTTAGAATTAGGCATTTCTCTCTCAAGTGTTGTTTGAATGTTGGTAAATTATAATAATTACATCACATAACATTTGTGATTTTTTCTTTGCTTAGCTTTCAGGGCTAAAATGATTTATGTCTATGTTATTTTTGGATTATATTTATATGTACGAAATAAATAATTAAGGAACACGGAAAAGTCTTTTAAAATATTTCAAAACAAATTGATGGACATTTATGTTTATATGTTCTTGAATATTGCATTTACCTAAAATGTAAGAGTAACCGTGTTTTAAGAAATATTCGGCAAGTGACTCTACTGTTGAGGTTAGAAAATGCATGTAGGTTTGGGACCTAACATTACCATCACGTCTTAGCTTCCAGTCTTGATACTTCTCCATATATGGTCTATGTATGTGCACGTGGATTCAGACGAGCTCGTATATGTACCTCTGAACTTGACATTCTACTAGTGTATGCTCATTCTGTCGGTATATTGCGGATGGAAGGGAGCATGCATGGTACGATGATGCACATTATATCGTATCATATCGTAAAGGTGTATGCATTCGTATTAGTTATAATAGGGAAGTATTTCAATGCACATGAACATGCAATATGTATGAGGTCCCCATCGTTTAAAATCATGGAATGTGTTTAAAATCATGGAATGTGTCTATGATGCAATGTGTATCTTTGTTCATTTTATACCTAACATAATATTTTCATGTCATTACATAACATATCGTGTCAACATGATAAACCCATAATTTAAACCATAACTTGACATATCTCACCGTATCAATGCATCATAACACTAAACAAACATATCAATCACAAGATATGACACGTGCAAAGGTAATAGGGCACACGGTTCATATTTCAAATAATTCATTTAACCAAATGAGTAGTGAAGTCACTTACTTGGGTAGCTTAAGCTGAAATCATTATTTAATTCTTGAAGCTAATCCAAACTCGTCCATTGAAGTCCAAGTTAACCTATATGAGTTCATAACATCTGATTAGAACTCATTGATCGATCCTATCCACTTAACATCTTCCATCAAGCCCTAATTTGGCCAAACAATAGTCGTGCTCATTCCAAAAACTTTTAAAGATGCCAAAATTGAGCCTGAAGGTCAAAAGTAGTTGGAAAGAGGTCCAAAATAGAGAAATAGGTTAAAAATTTAGAGTCGCCAAAAAAACATCAGAAAAGCTGTCGAAGAGAGTCGATTCCGGTCGGTGCCGGGTCGTAGGTTGTGGGCTTCTTGGGCCATATGTTTGGGAGTGGGCTGATGGGTGGTTTGGGCTGGGTCGTGAGTCGTTTCTTTTTGGATGGGGGGTTAAAATTTCTTTTTTCGTACCTGAATGGTTCGGACGCAATCTATATTTCTGACTTTAGTTCGAAAGTTTTTTCTATCTCGTTTAAGTCACATTGGTTAAGAAACACGAGTTTAGTTGAGTATCAATGCGGATTGAATTTGTTTCGACTTCCGATCAATTTATCATAAAGTTTGATAAACTTTTAAAACTACAAAAACTAAATATTAATTGAAGTTAAAGATCACATATACCAATAATGTAATGTAATCTACAAGTTTTAATCTACCTCGAAGAAAATAAAAAATGAAAAAAAGTTGACCTAAGATGGTATAAAAGTCAAGGTGCACTCATTAATTGCCATGGTAGATTCAACAATTTCTTCATTGATTGTGGGGTTTAAAGTAAGCATATGGCCACAAAAGTTGCAGCGATTTGCGCCAACTTTTTACGTGGTTTATTATCATTCTCGGTCATTTCAACACGAGTCATTCCAACGTACTTTCTTCTTACTTTTAAGAGTGAAGACTATCTCCCTACAAGTCAACTCGACATGACGTTACTTTCTCCTTGCTTTTAAGAATGAAAACTATCTCTACAAACCAACACGAGCCTTTCCAATATACTTTCTCCTTACTTTTAAGAGTGAAAACTATCCTTATAAACCAACACGAGTTCTTCCAACATACTTTGTCCCCACTCACATGTGTCTTAAGAAAATTTTCAGGAGATCACAGTTCCTATGGTTGAGCCACAAAAAAAGAAAAAGGTGTAACGATCCCAGATCCACCACTAGCAGATATTGTTCTCCCCAACCAATGTGGGACATCACAATCCACCCCCCTTCGAGGCCCAGCGACCTTACTGACACACCACCTCGTGTCTACCCCCCTTCGGGGAACAGCGAGAAGGCTAGCACATCGTCCAGTGTCTGGCTTTGATATCATTTGTAACGACCCATATCCACCGCTAGCAGATATTGTTCTCTTTGGGCTTTCCCTTTCAGGCTTCCCCTCAAGGCTTTAAAACGCGTTTACTAGGAGAAGGTTTCTACACCCTTATAAACGATGGTTTGTTCTCCTCCCCCAACGAATGTGGGACATCATAAAAGGTGTACATTGTTCGTATAGACCGTAACTTTTTATTTCAAGCCTTTCTTAGTCATTCTATCCTCAAGATTATTCTCATTCGTATCGAGTTTCAATTCATTTATATATCTCTTATTTACTTGGGTATCACATCGACCATTTAAAAAACTTTTTTACTTTCTTAATGGAGTTATAATCCTCCAAAGTGAAAAAAATGATCTCTCATCTCTTATTTTTAAATGTCTAAAAGTTCCATAATTACTTTTACACCTATAATTACCAATTTAAAAAAGAGCCAAAATGATTTCATGAAGGGTTTTAAAACCTTATCTCAATACATAAATTAGAATATGTATTAGTATATGTTGAACTCTAACTTTTGATATATGCACAAATCGATCAATGATGATATCAAAATCTGATGAATCGATTCATGATGCCCTAACACGATACAAAATGATACTAAATTTATCCACCTTTAATTAATTGTGGGCTATATGCTATCTTAACTTATTGTTTATATTTAAATTGTCAAACGAATTTATAAGCATTATCTTATCATGTTCGAATTATTTGTTTCATGAATTCTCCGAGCAATGTGGTACATAGATTTTGTCTCTATATGCGATCACGAGAAAATATTTGAATCTCAAACCAACATATTATATAAAATTATTACAAGAAACTAAAATACAATATTATTGATTTTTTTTTAATGATATTTTACATTTTTAATAAAAATTATATTAAAAAGTAGAAACTATCCATTTAAAAATTCTTTGAAACAATTTTTGTCAGATATATTTATAAGAAATGAGAAAAAAAATCATCCTAGGGAGTCTAATCCCTGCTAAAACGAATGAATTTTTTTGCGAGAATAGAGATTGAAATAGATGGAGAGGACGAGAACGAAGAAGACTTCCCACCCTTCTCCCATAAACATCTCTAAGCTCAACATGTCAAGTGGAGTGAGCATATATATGAAGGTTGGATCTGTTGAGAATTGTTAAGAGGGAGTCTCACATTGGATACTTTAGGAAATGATCATGCTTGATTGGTACACGAGACGCAAAAAACAAAGCCATGAGAGCTTATGCTCAAAGTGGACAATATTAAATCATTGTGGAGATCTTTGAATCGAACATGTTATCAGAGCCTTGCCTTTAACTTAGTCATGTCAATAGAATTCTCGAAGTGTCGAACAAAGAGTGTACTTTGTTCCAAGACTCCAGAGGGAGTCGAGGCTCGATTAAGAGAAGGTTGTTCGAGGGCTCCATAGATGTAAGGTCGCTACTCTATACATACCATAAACATTGAATGCGGAATACTTCATTTAAATTCCATAAAGCATAGCCTTTAACTTAAATCACAGCCATGGACTTGCATGTTTTAAAAACATCTTTAAAATGACATAACAAAAGACCCGAAATAAAATAAATAAGCGTTTAAGTTTAAAACATCCTATTCTATCTTAAGTCTAAGAAAATAAATACCACTATCCTATGCATGTGCCATGATCTCGAGTTGCGATGTCGTCGTCAGCCGTACAGGAATGCCTTGCCTTTGACTGAAAAATGTTGTAGCACATGGCTTGAGTATTTAACAAATACTCAGTAAGTGACCCCACTATTGGGGTTAAATGTAACAATCACATGCAATGAAATGATGGGATCTATCTTTCATTTCGTTTCGTTTTCCCTACGGTGCTATCCTAACGGGTAATCGTGGACCTGTACCATATACTCTACACACAGCCCATACGTGCGAGTATGGGCTCACCAGCTAGTTCGCACACCGCTGGGCCACTATCCTTATCCGGTGGGCATACTCTGAGAGCCCCTTATGCCGGGACCCGTTAAAACTAGAACCGTCACGGCAGCGCTATGCAATGCATAACGATCATTGTCCTGCCATTGGATGTACGCGTCTGTACCCTCGTGATGGGATGGGGGTATCCCCCAGATGCATGAACACACATAATGCATGAGGTCCCCCTAGTTTTACATTTATCTTTAATGACCATAACCCCCTGTCACGTTCCAGGCTTCATGTCATTCTCATTTTCATTTTACATTTCATACACATTTCTATCGGGGTTATGGTTCCAGACAGTTTACCGTGTTTCATGTCATACAATTCATACTGTTCACATTCACATATTCCATACAAACATGCCATAATCATTCAAGGACCTCATATCGTTACATGCATTACACATCACATCAGACTAAAAGTATACATAGCATACATTCACGTTCACATAACTACGTACTTAAGCACAATAATCTAGCATACAATGTATCATATCATAAACAAGTCATAACGTAAACACTTCATAGTCATATCGTTCCCTAACTTACCATAGCCTTAACGTTCTTATACCTATCACAGACATATCATTACGTAACGTACCTTAGTTATATCGTCACAAGAACATACCGTAACGCTATCATTCTATCAATCTATCACAAACCTATCCCTTTCTACCCATAACCTAACCTATTCTTTCATCAATCTCTCCTATCCATAGCACTCCGGTATGTAACCTAACCTTAACGTTTCATGAACGTATCTCACTCCTATCGTTATATTTCATTTTGTGCATCCTTCTCGTATCCTATCTCAAACATATCCTTGAGCACATCGTACCATAATTATTATCATGCAAACCACATATAATAACATAACATAACATATAGGAAGCATATCGATCCACAGACAATTCACACATATCAATATATATGACACGTGTAGAACCACAAGGCACGTGTCAACATCAAATATAACCATGCCGATAGTAAGGTTACTTACCTGGTTAGCTTAAGTCGTTGTCACGAATATATCCTTAATGAAAGTTCGATTCCGTCGTTATCCTTAATGAAAGTCCATTGAACTTCAAGTCAACCTATGTGAGCCCATGACATCAGTTTCCAGTTTGAATTTCTACAAAATTGTTTCTCTAATTTATATTGATCCATGTGTTATACTTCATGCGAACGTTAGAGTCTTTGCCTGAGTTAGGTCTTGAAATATTTATATATGTTTGTTATAGTATTATTTTTATACAAATCATTTAATACCCATTAAAATTTTCTAGATATTCTATTTTCTTAGTGTTTAATACACTAGGATAATTTCAATTATATTCACAATCTTCCTCCCTGTCTCTTACTGTATTTCCCTTCTTTTAATTATCCCGTGTTTGAGAATGACTTTTAATATCATTAAATAAAATAAGAGGAAAACTACTGATCTCTTGCAAAATCTCTTCCGAGAAAAATATCTCTTACCAGCAAAATTAAATTGGATAGATTCTTTTGGCCAATTTAATAGATTCTATTTTTTTCCTATTCGATATTTGACCACCTAAATTGCTAAATAAAACTAAATAATTGGATAAAGAAAAGGAGATCTGTAAAAAAATCTCAAATCTCTCTCTTGTAAATGTTGATCATTTTTGCAAACCCATCCCCTATCAATTGCAGGCATTTCTGTTTTCACATTTTTCATTTCTGTTTCATTTTTGAAGTAGCTGTGTGTTGAGGAGAGATTATTGGGGAAGTGACTAGAGAAATGAGAGAATAATTATTTTTATTTACTTATTTATTAATTTATTATTAATTTTTTTTACATAATAATAATTTTTTTTTGTTTATAATAATTTTTATTTATTTATTTATTTTTGGGCGGTTACAATATACCTCAGAAGTCTAATCAAAAGTGACTCAAGTGTCGAACAAAAATGTAGATATGTCGACAAAAATGTAGATATGTGATTAGGAGGATTGTATTTTATTCATTAAACACTATGAGCTTGAATGGAATTGTATTTTATTTTAGGAAAGCGACACACACTCACATGGGCAAAGACAAAAGCAAGTTAAAAGAATGACTTTTGAGTTTTAATATTAAAAAAACAACAGCTAAAAATTCAACGGATGTCTAGATATTGTTAGTTAAACATTGGCATGTGAGGCAATCACGACACTCTTAATTTCCTCCATAATTTCAAGCTTTGTTTGCGCCACATTTTTTGGGTGTGGTGTGACACTTGACTTTCCATACTTACCTACCCAATTACCTCCTCAAATAAATTAATTAAACTTCCCACCTACATAATTATTCAACGACAACAACCATGAATTGTATTCTCGAATCATAACTTAGAACATAAAATGTTACCAGTTAGCTTTTGTGGACTGATATGATTGATTCTCCAGCTTTAACTTGAACCATCTGAACTACCCAACTCAAATCGTAATGGCTGGGTTGAATTTTTGAAAAAATAAAAAAATTTGGTTCGATTAGCAAGCTAGAACTTTTTTGGTCGAATCAACCCGACCGACCCGAAAATAGGGTTCACACTCCAATCCAACTCTACTCTTAAGATTATTATGAAGATTAAGAATATTTGATATCTGGGACAGATATATTAGTAATAAGATGTGGTCGGTGAATATTTGATATTTTAATTCTATAAAATTTTATAATTGCATAGGATCGATTATAGAGTTTATAAATATGCATCTTGATATTGATTCAATGGATCTTGAAAAAACATTTGTTTTTAGTTCAACCAATGTAAAACAGATCAAACATTCAATTTAGAACGATAAATTTATTCAAATTGACATATTTAGAATGATAAATTTATGAATTTAATACACCTATCTAAATAGTTTAACGATTGTTTAAGTGATTATATTTTCTTAATGAATAAATTAATATCAATATACTAAATATTGATTTGGTAAATTATGGGATGGATTTAATTTCAAAATGTTAAGTTTTGATTGAAGTAAATAATGGAATTGCAAGACTTTCTCTCCCATTCTCTCTATAAATACACTTCAAAGGACTCTTTCAACAACACAAGAAAGTTTGACACAAAAAAAAAACATGGCACTATTGGCCAACCTTCTCTCCTTCCTAGCCCTGATGGGGCTAGTCCTAGTCCCCATCACCCTCGCTCAAAACTCCCACCAAGACTTCGTCAATGCCCACAACGCCGCTCGATCAAGGGTCGGGGTCGGGCCAGTCTCTTGGAACTACACCTTAGCTGCATATGCCCAAACTTATGCCAACAAGAAGATTGGCACTTGTAAGATGCAACATTCTTATGGCCCTTATGGCGAGAATCTAGCCGAAGGGTACGGCGAGATGACTGCAGTCGAGGCAGTGAACTTTTGGGTGAGCGAGAAGAAATACTACGATCACCGGTTGAACCGATGCGTCGGAGATGAGTGTGGCCATTACACGCAGGTGGTGTGGAGGAACACCAAGCATGTGGGTTGTGCTAGAGTGAAATGCCGCAACAATTGGATTTTTGTTATATGTAGCTATGATCCTCCGGGCAATTATGTTGGCCAGCTTCCTTATTGAACTTGTAAGAGAATGAAAATTTGATGGCATGAATACATATTATGCATAGACATGAAGTTTCTCATGGCTCCCACCTTTGTTCCTTTATTGCATTCAAGGAGGTGATGGGTTTTGAGTTTCTAATGTATCCGTAAAAAATGCTTATTTTAATCCGTTGAACTATGATCAAATTGGTTACTAATTAAGATAAAATTAGACGGTTTGTATAGTTCTAATTAAGATAAAACTAGGTTGTTTGTCTAGTTAAGAAGTGTTTATTATAATATACAAAATTTATCTTATCAATACATATAACAACCCAAATTCACTGTACATATATTATCTTTTTTGGGCTTGCCGAAAAGTTAAATTTAGAGGTGGAAGTCTTCTTTCGTTTCTCGACGGTGAAGTAAGACTAAGCTCATGAGTTTATTATCCTAGGTTGGAATAAGTTGATAGCATCCCTTTTTTTACGTTCCCATGTCCCTCCCGTGTGGCGACATGGGGGCGAAAAAAGAAAAGAGAGGGATGGGGTTTCTCTCGTTTTTGGCATAGCGGGCCCCAACGGGAGGCCCGCACGACGGGTTATTGCGTCGTTGTGCCTGGGCTGTGAGGGCTCTCAGCCACATGGATAGTTGAGCCTTCACAGAAAGTCCGAAAGGAAAGACCCAAATAGGATAATATCTGCTAGCAGTGGATCTGAGCCGTTACACAATGTTTTGAGCCGTTACACAATGTTTTTAAAACACATGTGCTATGGAAGGTTTCCACGCCCTTATAAAAAAAAAATGTCCCGTTCTCTTTCCCAACTGATGTGGTATCTCACAATATACATATATCAGTTATCATGGAAGAGATTGTCCGTCTCTACATAATTTAGTACATAAGAAATTAATTTATTGGTGTAGAAAAAGGAGTAATTTTTTTAAAATGAAAGTTGGATTACAAATGGAAGGCATGAAGATAAGTGGGTGTCTTTTAGAGAATGGATAATAATGTTTAAATTAGGAGGTTAAGAGCACAAACTATATGACTAGTAATGGGAGCATCCTTTGCCAACTAGCAAACGACTCAAACAACTATGCAAGCCAGCTCTAACGATAGTATATATATGAAAAAAACATCATAAATAATATCGAGAATTTTTTTATTTTAGTTTTACAACCAAAAATACTTTTGAAACAGTAAAGATCGTGTAATTAAATTTGGAGCTATATAGAACTTCGGCTAAGGCCAACCAAGTAAATGACTTACTATCAACTTGATTCGAAAACTTGTCTTATATATGACGACATGTGGCCAGTGACCTTTCCACGTATCATTTATGCTTTATGTTATATGATGATGTGATGAAGTTATATGATGATGTGAGGGCGTAATATGATGACGTGACGATATTATATGATAGAAAATTATGAAAAACTATGAAAAATTTATGAAATGAATAGAAAATAATGAAAAACTTAGAAATCATAATAATAATTTTAAAATTAAATAAAATAGAGTTAGAGGAAGTAATACAATAATTTTAGGGTGGTTCGATTAACCTCGTCCTACAACTCTCCAAGCACCTCTTGAGAATTTGGGTAAACACTTTCTCGACTATTTCCATGGATTAAGCAAAACCGCTACATCGTTGAATGTGATGTGTGACCCCGTATGCTTGCTAGCTACTAGATTGTCTGCACGGTCCCACACCCCCCTCTCTTTATGCGGTTATAGTGCAAAGTCTTTAGTCAGATGACCCTTGGCCATTTCCATTGGGTAAAGGCATGTGGTTGCCTTGTGGTTGCCTTGTTGGACTACATTATCTAACTTAGACTTGACTCAACGAAACTGCTACTGTACTTTTACCGCTTGGCATGGTGCTACTAGTACTAAGGGACATATTGAAGGAGATAGGAGGTGGAGACTCTGGTAACACCATTCACACTACTACTAAGCCTGTTTTAAGCTTTTTTAATTGTCCTTGTTGTAGAAGCTTACTAGGTTCATAAAGCGTATAGGCAGTTTAGATCTCATCTCACATTTTTAGGAAGCTCGAGCTATCTCCTTGGTGTTAATCCAATTTCTAGGATCATTAAGGTCTAGACCTCTAATCTTCACTTATGATTTTAGGTTGCTCTATCAGTTGGAAATGTACCAACTTAGGTCATTGTAAAAACTGCTCTATCTCTAGCCCTCTAATTTTAAATTGGTTCTCTAGTGCATGCTTTGTAAGGGAGATAATCCTATCTCTCATAGCCCTATTTTCACCAAGTGTGACTAACTTGAAAACATTAAATACTAGGTGAATTATGTCAATAAATTTTTTTGTATTTAAAACAAAACATAAATATATTTTATATACAAATTCATAATAAAGTTTGAATACATTAGGTCGGGTAAACAAAATAATTTAAAATATAAAACAATTGTTTTACATGGCACCTGTTCCAGATCCGCGTCCATTCTCGACCAACTCCTTATTGTAACATGAATAACATGAGAGGACTTGAGTGAGTACAAAGATTCAGTAAGTAGTCTACTTATATACTCTAAATCATGTCTTTAAGGTGTAATAAGGTACCACACTCTTTCTTGTTATGTTCTTATTCATGACATACGAACTTAGTTCGTTAGGTTTTGTTAATGGGTTCTAAGTTCTTGTCATGATCCTTGGTCATGGATCCTAAGCTCTTAATCTTGGTGCTTGCCCAAGGGTCTTAGTTTCACGGTTTTAGGTTCTTAATTCTAATAATTTAGATCTAGATCTTTGTTCTAATTCTCATCCTTAATACTTAGTTATTGATTGATACCTAGCCATCTTCATATGGTAGAGGACTCGAGGGTTATGTCATGCTACTTTAGGACATGGGTGTATGTTAAACTTTCTTGTCGTGCTTCCGGATCTTAACATATTGACTATTTGAAAATCAATAGCTACGTATAGCTAGGGGTATACATTCAACCCGACAACCCGGACCAACCCAACCCGAACTATAAGGGTTGGGTTCATTTTTCAGAACCCGAACTGAACTGGTTCGGTTTCAGGTACGTGGGCAGAACCTTCGAGTTGACCCGAGCCAAATAAAAATATATAAATTATATTAAGAATCCCTTTATATAAATGGGTTTGCTAGAGTGGTACTTACGCCAATCTAAGAACACTAAAACCTAACTTGGACGCCAAGCAAATACATATTTTTTTTAATTTTATTATTTTAAATGTTCATATATATATATATATATATATATATATATATATATATATATATATATATATATATATATATATATAATTTTGGACCTCTTGTGGTGCTTTTCTTTTCGAAGAGATACTTCAGTCAAATTTATTCAGTACTTTTAACTTCTAATGTGATAAATTCTTGCTTATAGATTCCATCATATGAAATGCTGGGTATCCCAAAGCACGAGGAAATACCTTTGGTGCCACAACTGCCTCTCTCTGTAATGGGCGATGCTTGTTCTCGAGTGGACCTAACAGCCATTCATCAGCTTTTGCTCGTGTCACATTATAAGGATGATGATGGATCCTGCGAAGTAAACCATCTCTGATACTGAAACTCAATTCTATAGTTTCATTTCTTGGAAGTTTTTTCCCGTTAGATTGTTGATCCTTATTAAATGCTAAAATCTTCATCTCCAACTGGATTTATGCAGCTGTCCTTCCAAGAATGGACTCAACAGATTCGAGATATGTTGGAGGCGCGTAAGCGAGGCGACATGGCATTTCGAGATAAAAATTTTATAGAGGCAATAGACGGCTATACTACGGTAAGAAGCTATATGCCTTGATGATGTATATGAACTTTGAGATTAACACCCTCCACCAAACCTGAAAATACACAACTTCTGGATCGTTAAGTTGAGTTGCTCTATGCTGAAGATTGACGTATTATTTATGGCATCATGTGCAGTTCATTGACGTAGGAAATATAGTATCTCCAACAGTCTACGCGCGAAGAAGTATTTGTTATCTGCTGTGTGATAAACCAGATGCAGCACTTAGAGATGCCATGCAAGCACAATTGGCTCACCCTGAGTGGCCGACTGCATTTTACTTGCAGGCCGTTGCCCTTGTTAAGCTCGGAATGCACAAGGATGCAGCTGACATGTTGAATGAGGCATCAACATTAGAGAAGAAAAGGCATAATAGAGGTAGCAGAGGGTATTGAGAATTCAGTTCTCTCAAACACTTTGGTGCATTTTTTGCCTACCATGGGATCTGTAAGTTATCATTCAAGTGGTATGCACTTTGTGAAATAATTAGTTGATTCGGCTTTGTGTATTGAACATATATAATACAATTCCATGTCAATATGCTTCTCTATGCAACAAATAACTCAGCTTTTCCATCAATGAAGAGGCTCATGAACTCTTCCCCGTCCACGGTTTCCTTCTCGATAAGGAGTTGTGCAAGCTTGTGCAGAATGTCGATGTGGGTCGTGATTATCTGCTTAGCCCTTGAATATGCCACCTCTACTAACTCCCTAACCTCTGCATCCACAACATCTGCAGTTGCCATGGAGTAATCTTTCTGGGATGACATCTGCAAAGTTCCCAAACATTAATTATAATTAGAAATCGTTCTAAATAAATAGGATTTTGTGTAATAAGTTTTTGATATTTAGCGGCTTGAAAAAATAATCGCGGAAATCCAAACATTTATCTATCCATCCTTATAAGGTAGATCAGTCACATTATTACGTTCATCTGTGCATACCTGTTGACCTAAGAAGGGATTTCCGCCTGATCCACCAATTGCAATTTGTCCGATCTTTTTACTGAATCCAAACCTCTCAACCATTTGTCTTGCAACACGAGAAACTTGCATAAAGTCGTTCGATGCGCCCGTTGTGACGTTGTCTTCTCCAAATATCACCTCCTCAGCCACCCTGCATTGGCCATTAAATGCAAATTGAATACCATATAAGCTCTATAACTCAACTCTAAGAACATTTTTCATTATTTCAAAAGGTCAGGTTGGCGTATAGAATGACCACAGTGATACTCGTAAAAGTTGTCGTAAAGGACCGTCAAGCAGTATGGCCAGACAATCAAACATTAGGGTCATTGCAAGGATGAAGTTTGAATAATGTATACCTTCCTCCAAGGGCAACAGCCATCTGATTCTCCAGGTAGCTTCTGCTGTACAATCCAGATTCGAGCCTCTCTTCGCTTGGAGCAAAAAAGGTAAGTCCACCAGCTTGGCCACGGGGAATGATCGATATCTTCGCCACGGGATCGTATTCTGGCATCAAAGCTCCAACAAGAGCGTGCCCGGCCTCTGCATTTGGAAAAGAAACGAGCTGTTAATAGAATTGCAAAACCAGACAATGACAGTCATATTGGCATATACCATGGTATGCAACTAATTTCTTCTTCTCATCTGAGACGACGGCGTTCTTCTTTTCCGGCCCTGCAATTATCCTCTCAAGAGCATCTGATATCTCATCTTTGCTAATTTCCTTGAGATCACGCCGGGCTGCAAGAATGGCTGCTTCATTCATCAAGTTCTGCAAATCAGCTCCAGTGAAACCAGGGGTTCTCCTTGCTATCTTTTCGAAGTCAACATCTTTAGCAAGTGCCTTCCCTCTTGAGTGCACCTACAAGACATCAGTGTATCAGATAAAGAAAGAATACAGAGCACTTAGAACATTAACAAAAAGAAAAAATGCAACAGATGTTCCAAACTACAACACTACAAAAACACATAAAAAAACGAAAATGAGCGTCTTTTGTAACGGCCCGTCCTTTCTGACCGCCCAAACCCACCGATAGCAAATATTATCCTCTTTGTGCGTTTCCTTTTGGGATTCCCTTCAAGGTTTTAAAACCATGAAGCTGATGGCGATATGTGACGGGCAAAAGCGGACAACATTTGCTAACGGTGGGCTTCTAAGGTTGACACACCACTTAAAATCAAGCGTAACAAAAGCCTAAGTGCCTTGCTCTAACCAAGAATCCATTACAATTTCATTGATCTTGAGACAATAAGAGTTTCCAATGCACTGACCTGAAGAATCCTGACTCTCCCAGCAACATCAGGACGGTCGACGGTAACTTGTCTATCAAACCTTCCGGGCCTGAGCAAAGCAGAATCANATATATATATAATTTTAAAAAATTTAAAGCATATTCTAGTATTTATTGTTTATTTATTACAATATTATTATATCACAATTTATATATATTTTTATTTTTCTACGTTATATATAGTATTTTTAAACTAATCATTTTCGGGTGTTTATAAATTATATATATATATATGTATATATATATTTTGTTACTTTAACGGATTACAAGCATATTTCAATTAAATAATTTTCGTTGGTTGTTTTTTATTGATTTTTTTTTTTAATAATTATAGATTGATTTGCAACCCGGACCCAACCTGAACCCAACCAAAAAATAAAGGGTTGGGTTGGGTTACCCATCCAACCAACCCGAACTTTTGGGTTGTGTCAAAAAAATCCCTCAACCCATCTCAACCCAGATCATGTATACTCGTACGCATAACTTATCTTTGAGCAGCATCCTGATTCCTTGAAAATCAAGAATTGCCCTAAATCTCATCCTGAGTTAAGTAGTCTAATGGTTACTCGAAAACTAAGGGCTATGGACACGTTGCCATGAGATAACATTAAGATTAGTTACTGGGTTCACATTCATAATTAAGAATTTGAATGGTCATATCCACACAATAAATATATTATCAATTAGAACTTTAAATTGCATCAATTATGAGATATATATGAGAATTTGTTTGGTGTTCCACTATTATCTCAACATGCTCTATCTTCCACCACATATCCCATTTCTAATCTCAATATAAATACTCCCAAACCAAACCCAAAATCTCACGACCAACACAATCTACCATTCTTCAACCAACAAGCCAAAGCCACATTGTAAAACCATGGCCTCCCCAAACATTCTCAAAGCCATTTGCTTGTTGGGAATAGCCCTAACCCTATCTACCATAACTCCCACCATGGCCAATAGCAGCCCCAAGGACTTCGTCGATGCTCACAATGCCATCCGTGCGGAGGTTGGCATCGAGCCCCTCAAATGGAACGAAACAATGGCTACCTATGCTCAGAAGTACGCCGAATCAAAGATCGCCACTTGCGAAATGGCGCACTCCGGAGGACCCTATGGTGAAAACCTAGCGGTGGGATATGAAGGGATAACGGCGGAGACGGCCGTGAAGCTCTGGGCCGACGAGAAGAAACATTACAACCACGCTTCCAATTCGTGTGGAAACGACCCTACCCACTGCGTCCATTATAGACAGTTGGTTTGGAAGAATACCACATCTATTGGGTGCGCCCAAGTGACGTGCCAAAACAGTTGGATTTTTGTCATATGCTGTTATTACCCTTCGGCCGACAGTATTAAGCAACGTCCATACTAATTTTTTTTCAATGGATACAAAGTTTATATGAAGAAAAGAATTAAATAAATGGTTTTTTTTTTTTTTTTTTTTTTTTTTAATTTTGATACTTTATAATATAGGAACAAGCTGGCTTTGGAGTCATCTTTTGTGTGTAACTCATAAACTTTCTTCAATAATTTTTGGAATTTTCTATTTATATTGATAAAGATCAAAGATTGATATTTCATTTTTAATGTTGTAAATCAATCTTTTTATGGTAAGATCTATTATTGCTCGGCCCTTCCAACAATGAGTAGTTCGCTCTAGGACTCCACCCCTCGAGAGCACGATGCCGGTCGAGATGGAGCTGGAAGCCAACCTAGACTTTCGTGGGGTTTGCCCCAACATAAGATGCTAGAAGCCAACCTAGATTTTCGTGGGGCTTGCCCCAACATCAAAATCAAATTGTTGGCAGGATAGAAAAGGAACCACCCCTGCCTTTGAAATAAAGGTTTGCGTTGTATGCCTGAAATCAAGCTTCGCGTGGTATGCCCTGTCTATTCACTCGGACAATGCTCTAGACACAAAAACGTGCAGTTTCGCCCCCTTCTCCCATGCTGAGTTACAGGTAGCACCTCGGAAAGAACAGACGAGCCATATGTAGGAAAACTTGCACGTGTGGTTCTGGCTGGAGACTCGGGTAAGTAATGAAGAATAAAAAGTATCATTGTTTTTGTAATAAGAATAAAAAGTATCATTGTTTTTGTAATATGTGTTTGGACAATGAAACCTCGGACCTATGTCCCGAACAAGCCTTTTATTTGGTAGGTAACATCGATGAAGCTACTGTGAAGGCTTGAACTTAGAAATGGAGAGCAAAGTGAAGAAATAACCTTAAATCTTAGTGTCCTGACTCCGAATCGAATTATTTGGGTTTCTTAAGTGAAAGAAATAATGGACAAATGGGTGCTTCTTAAGTGAAAGAAATAGTGGACAAATTGGTGCATTACCAAATCACCCACCTGCGTAGATAGGTATTTGAAAAATGACATGACATGTAACCTCCATGCCATTTTAACAATGATATGATATTGCCTATTTTTGACACTAACCCTGGTGGCTTTACTTTTGGTTTCACCCATATCATATACACAATTAGTTTCCTCCAATTAATTCGATTAATTTTAGGATAATTAAGTGATGATCACAAATAGTTTATAAGATCAATTTTAAAATGGATGTTAAATTAGATTTAGAACTTAAAAACATTCGGCCTAAGAAATCTTAGGAGAATTAGAAAGCCTACTTGGCTAGTTGATGAAATTGTATGTTGCATCTACTTTGTGGCTGTTTACTAGCTCGAAGATACCTAGAATGAGTAACCATGTGTCAGCAAAAACAAATAAAACAAAAAGTAAAATAAAATAAATTAAAAGATGAAAATTTAATACAAAATAAAATCTAATTACAATGTTCAAATTTATTACAAACTGGGAGACAAGTTCGGGGCACAATAACAAACCAAAATATATAAAACTTGGATAAAAAAGTGGACTAATGCTTTAGAACAACTTCATCTTTGACCGCTTAGCTCTTGAACACTCCCCATCTCGACCGATAGCCTGTGAACACCTGAAAAAGAAAAGGAGAAAGCCAAAACATATATTCTCATTTAAATTGCCTTTTAAAGTTTCGAACATACATATTCTAACCACCTAAAGTTAAGATATGCACGTATACTTGCACATTCTAGCCATTCCTACATGTATTACTTAAAAAGGTTTGAGTGGCTATGAAACGACCCTAGATTTCTAACCTAAAGTTGCTATCATTTTCATAGTATAACCTCTTCTGCGAAATTAATCATTTAAAAACATCTCATAAAACAATATGGACTTACATGTTTAAAAAGGGTCTTTAAAGTAACACAAATGAAATATTAAATAAAACAAATTAAATATTAAAAGTAATAATGCCCAATAATAACCTAAGGTCCAAGAATTTAAATACAACCATGTGTCATGGTCTTCTAAGTTGCGATTTCACAGTCAACTGTACAGGAGTGTTGTCTTTATCTAAAAAAATAAGAGTAATACATGACTTGAGTATTTTAAGAAATGCTCAATAAGTATAACCCCACCATTAGGGTTAGATGCAAACACACACAATCATGAGTAAGACCTATCATTTAAATATGTATTCCCTTAGGCGACTATCCTAAGCGGGTAGGTGGATCTATGTTTATTATTCTACACATGTATCACCCGTGCAAGTATGGACCCACCAATTAGTTCGCACACCTCTTTAGCCTCTTTTCTGATTGGGCTAGCATTTTCTGGTGCTGTTATCGGACACTCGTAGGAATAGTGACTGTTGTAGCATTATGATAAACATAATGATCGTAACATATGCGTCTATACCATTGTAAAAGGAGAGATTCTCCAGTGCATGTAACACACAGTGATGCATGAGATCCCAACATTTTCGTTCATTAAACATTTAAACAACCCCTTCCGTCTTTCCTTCATATCATATCATTTCTATCATAGCTTTCAATATATATATCGAGATTGTACAACATGTCGAAACATCTTATCGCATGTTGTTAACATCATACATTGTGTCATATCATACATGTGTCACATCATAAACATATCATGTCTCTTAACATACCATATCATCACATAAAACATGTCACAATAGGCATCATATCTATCATATTATTCACATATCATATTTATAGTCATATCATATCACAAACATATCGTTTCTTAACATTTCACATATATTAAATGTATGGTCCCTTGACAGAACACTTAGAAAAGAAAGAGCAAAAACAAAAAAAACAAAAAAAAAAAAAGGACTAGGGCTTGAGAGGAAGAAGGAAGAGGTAGAAAACGCTCCAATTTGGTAAGAGGAATCTAAATTTGACCAAGAGTCCTTCACAAGAAATTCTCATAGGCCGAGGAGATTCACTCTAAGCACTAGAATTGTTCGATTCTGTAAAGAAACGAGGAAAAATGAAAGGTTAGCTTCCAGGTTTTAGATCTTGGGCTTTTCACAAGATCGGTGAGTTTCTTATGGAATTAGTCTCTATAACTTTAGCATGTATGAAATATTTTTGCACATTTTTGTGAAGGAATCCCGAGTCGGATCCGGCTGAAAGTAGGAGTTTTGAAAATCCTTCTAGAACCGTAAGAAACTTGATTTTAGCCAACTTTGGACTTAAATAACTTTGCCTATAATTGATTAAAAAGAAAGAAAAAAAAAACAAAAAACAAAAAAAGAGTTATGGAAACTTGAGAATAGAGGGTGCATGTTTATAAAATGTTTTCTGCTGCATTAGAATGGAGGATGAAAAATTTGTGATCTACTCCGCATAGTGCTAGAGGGAGGTTATCTCCCCTTGAACATATTTGAATTTTATGATTGAAATTATATAGATTCAGACGAATGTGTGCACGAATTATCTGTGCTTACTTGATTAATAGGAATATGTCTCTATCACGCCTGCATGAACATTTACCTCATGATTTATGTGCATTAGGTGATTGATAGAATATCTACCTAGTGTTCATAATTTATGTGCATTAGGTGATTGATAGAATATCTACCTAGTAATACATGCATCAATTAGAACAAGTGTAGTGTAACGATTCAGATTTTCCATTTTTGCCTTATTTGGTTGATTTTTATTTTTATTTCTATATATGACAAGATATTATGTTATGCATTTATTTTCGCTGAAAAATTTGCAATTTTCAACAAGGAAGTTATTACCTAAAAATAAAATAAATAATTAAATGTAATCTCCCCCGAAATAGAAGGATTATGCTAGACTTTTATTACCTAATAGAAACATTTCTCTGAGTTTCCTTGTCCTAAAACCCTAGAATGCAAATGTCTTCCGATTATTTTTATATTCCTATGCCCAACCTTTTACCTCCCTTGAAAACGATTTTCTCTCCAAACTTTCCTCCGTAACGTTGAGATTGCTCTTCGGAGGAAGAATCGAGTGGAAGTAAGGTATTGATGTTGGGATCATTGTGTCAAAGAAGGTTGACCGTTGGAAATCGGTGTTGAGGACATTGTGGGATCGTCAGCGCGTCGCCAGAATTGGGGAGGCGGAAACTAGGGTTTCGTTGCTTGTCGGGTAAGGAAGGCGAGGTTTTTGGAATCGAGTCGAGCCGCAGACGCACGCCCAACAGCTTCGGACGCACAGTGCGGCTCGACTCGCACAGGTATGATGATGTTAATATAACACATGCGGAAGCAATTTGGATCTTAGGCACTTTTAGAACATCAATTATAGTAAATAACTAGCATGTTCATAAGTATTAAAACTTAATGAGTTTGAATACTAACCTTTTGTAGTTCAAACTCCTTTTTCCTCACGAACCGGTTTCAAACCACCACTAGTATATTCTCCACTATCCTCTAGCCTTAGAACGGGATTGTGGAATCCGGTGAAGAGAGTGTTTGTGAGAGGTTTTTCTCAAGGTTTTTCACCAAGAAGAAGACCTTCCATGTACCATGATCACTCTATTTAAAGAGGCATGTTTGCATGTTCATGCAAATTTGAGATCACCAAATTTTGACACTCAAAATTCCACTCAAATGTTTGGGATTATGTGGCAAGCATGCATGTTTGAGTTAACCAAATTTTGACACTCAAAATTCCACTCAAATGTTTGGGATTATGTGGCAAGCATGCATGTTTGAGTTAACCAAATTTTGACACTCAAAATTCCACTCAAACTTGTGGGGTTTATTTGGCAAGCATGCAAGTTTGGTTCAACTAAATTTTGACACCTCAAAATTCCACTAACATGGATTTTTCCATTAAATGAAGTCAACATTTTGACTTTCTTCATTTTAATTCAACAATTAATTTTAAACTAAAGTAAATGAATCTATTTAATTAATATTTAATATTAATTCTAATGCCAATCCCAATCAATTCCAACACATAATTGACTAAGATATTTAAATCTTATTTAAATATCTCATATTCTCTCTTTTTGTTTAATTCGTAAATAAAACAAAAATGCGGTTAAATATAACGTATATATGTAGCGCATATTCCCTAAGTTGAATTCGATCACTTCGAACTCACTCGTCATACTGTTCTATGGTTTAGTCCGATATGAGCTAGCAGAGAGACCTAATGGACCTATAGATCATGGGCTCCAACGATCCAAGATTAACCGGTTAAACTCATTAACCTGGTTAACCAACATTCGTTAACTACTAGGACACTTCACTATAGCCTAGTAGTTGTACTCCCCTCACTATAGATATATTTCTGTCCATTTGATATAACCATGATTAGTAAGTCGATCCTTCACAGGTTGTTCGTAACTAGAGCTGGGTCAATTTACCGTTTTACCGCTGAAGTTACTTCTTGTTCCTTATGTCTCACTGATCCTCTAATGAACAATTGGTTTGTGGTTCAACTAGTAAACCGAATCCCTCTCAGGCCAATGAGAGGGTGGGACCCCTTGTTCAAGACCTGGAGTTAGTGCTTAAGGGAACTACCTCTCTTCTATCCCTAAAAGTGGGTAGGAGTGAATTCCATCTTACACCCCACGTCCCCAGCCATTCACCCAGTCTTACCCATGAAATGGGAGGCCTATTGAGTCGGCGAACTAGAGTCACTCTCACCCATGCAAATCTAAGGATAATTCTGAATAAACAGGAGTTCATGGTTAGCTTAAGATTAAAACCGAGTTACCTAGGTTATCGAATGAAAAGAAAATCAGTCTCAACAGTAAACGAGATTATAAAGTGAGAGTGATTTTCTTCATGGTCCGATCTTATGCAATACTCATTGCATAGGACGCCCCCACTCACAGGTCTCCACATGTACAATTTAGTGATCACATTGTTTATATCATATACAAAAGTGGGCCGCATCCATAGTGTCCCCAGAATAAGGTACTCAGCCTTATCCTTATACTATAGATCATTTTGACTATATACTTGATCTTGATCCACTCGTATGTCTGTACATATAGTTCAAGTAATCATACTATAGCCAGAGTGTTCTTAGTTTATTGGATTTAGATTAATGATCGTAAAGTTCACTTTATTCAATAACAATCTTTACTGAATAAACAACAAAAATAACTTTATTGAAAATAGAATATGTTTTTGTTTACAAACTATGAGTTTTAGGACATAAAACCCAACAAGGTACGAAATCGGTTCGGTTCCGTCAAATCCTGCAGCTCGACTTGGCGGCTTAGTTGGTTGGCTCGGCAACTTGGCTTATCGACTCAATATCACTATAATATATCGATTCCAAGGTTTTTGGCCCTTCCGAAGCCGTTTCTGCCCTTAGTTTTACCATTCGAGGTCAGTATGGTTTCTAACCGTTAGACAGATTGGGTCGGGAGTTTATTTTGATAAATAGCATGAGGTTTAGGTAGAGTATGTTATGAAAGGTTCCTAAGTTTTATGTGGTTATCATAGGACGTATTTAACCGCTGGGATTAGCTCGTTGTGAGTGACTTCAACCAAGACCATCGAGGTAAGTGACCTTACTGTTTGAGTTAGCTTACTACGTGTTGTATGATGGTGCGTGCCCTGTGGCCTCTGCATGCACCATATTTATGTGATATGATTATGTGATATATAGATTGTGTTGACCCTAGATTGTGTATGTTATGTGATGTATGAATTATGTTGACTGTTGACTGCTTATGTTATGTGAAGTTATGAATGAGATGTTAGTATTATTTGCCACGAATATGTTGATCGATGCCATAGATACACGTAGTATTATCGAGTCATGTCATGAGATGTTTATGCAACTAGAATGTACTTTCATGTTATGTTATATGCCATGTAATGTAAGTCATGTGAGATGCCATGTAATATAAGAATCGTATATGCGATGTTAGCAGTGCTTATGTAATGCCATGTTAGATATGTTAAAGGACCTCATGCATATATGTATGTCACGTGCATCGAGATTCTTCCCCTTTATGTTACGAAAGAATGAAATACGATATTTATGTTCGCCATGATATCATGGGGCCATTTTTTGTTATGTGGTGTCCGGCAACGTGTAGTACGTTTTGCCCGACCAAGCTAGGCCCAAGAGGTACGTATATGAGCCCACCTGGTGGGTCCATGTACGCGTACATGGGTCATGTGTGAAGAAGTACCACACATCCAACCCTACTCGGAATAGAAAAGCGACCAAGGCCATGTAAAGTTTATGAAAAGTTAGATCCCGCTCATATGTTGCATGTGTTTGCATTCCAAACCCCAATAGTGGGGTGACTTACTGAGTATTTTAAGCCACGTGCTACCTACATTTTTTAGGTAAAGGTAAGACGCCAATGTACGGTTGATGGCGGAGCTGAGGCCACCATGAAAGTTGGAGATGGGATATTTTCAAGAGTTTACTCTTATTGGACTATTTTAAGTTATACATTGAGTATTGTTTTATTTGGATTTATTTTGAATTTAGAAGGTTTATTTTTGGAGTTTAGGTTTTGTTTTGGACTTATAATCTTTATGAAAGACTCTTCCAAGGTTATTTATGATGAGCTTCCGCTTAGTTATGTATGCATGGGTGACGTCACTAATTAGGTTAAAGAAAATTAGTGGCGCTTAATGAGTTATGTATGAATGGGTGGCGTCACTAATTAGGTTAAAGAAAATTAGGGGCGTTACATGTAGAGTAGTAGAACTCGAGTGTTAAGCAATGTCTTAGGTCAATACGGTTCCAGTACACTGAGTACCCGAGGATCGTGACCGGTGATCAAAGACCTAATTGCACCCAAGATTTGACTTAGCCACTAGGAGATAATTCCGAGCAACAAAGAAATTCAAGTTGTGACCTAATCCACTTGGACACCCAAGAACCTAATAAATCTCCACAAGACTCAAGGTGAACTACAAGAACTCATAACATCCATGGTAACACGAACAGAACTGTTTGAGGAGTCATTGTGTGTAGGATATAATCTACCTTGATAGAAGACAAGGGACTACATAAATAGTGATCCGAAGACTCACTAATGTGTGTCGGACTTAAACCAAAATCACCTTAACAGGAGATGAGGGACTACTCAAATAGACAATATAAGGAACTACCAATGTATGTATGATAATCCACCTTAAGAGGAATGAGGGACTACATAAGTAGGTAACATTAAAAACTACTATTGTATGTATGATAACCAGCCTTGAGAGGGAGCGAAGGTACGTAGTAGATTGAGGATATATTAGTATGTAGAACAAACCCGTCTTGTATATACTATAAATTGTTTGGTGCTCCACAATTATCTCATCATGATCTATCTTCCACCAAAAACCCCAAAAATAGAAACATAACCCATCTCTAATCTCAATATAAATACTCCAAAACCAAACCCAAACCCAAAATCTCCACAGCCAACAAAATCTATCAATCCTAAACCAATTGCATTTAGAAGAAGCCATATCTTAAAAATATGGCTTCCTCGAACATTCTCTCAGCCGTTTGCTTCTTGGGAATAGCCCTAACCCTAACAACCCTCGCTCCTACCACGGCCATTATCAGCCCCAAGGACTACGTCGACGCCCACAATGCGATCCGTGCGGAGGTTGGCGTTGAGCCCCTCCAATGGAATGAAACATTGGCTACATATGCTCAGAATTACGCCGAAACGAAGATTGCCTCTTGCGAAATGGTGCACTCCGGAGGACCCTATGGCGAAAACCTAGCAGAGGGATACGAAGAGATGACGGCAGAGAATGCAGTGAAGCTCTGGGTTGACGAGAAGAAACATTACGACTACGATTCTAATACGTGTGTAAACGACTCTAGCCATTGCCTCCATTATACACAGTTGGTTTGGAAGAATACTGAATCTGTCGGTTGCGCCGAAGTCCTGTGCCACAACAATTGGGTTTTTCTTGTATGCAATTATTACCCTCCCGGCAACTATGATGGACAACGGCCATACTAAATTTTTCAATAAAATATTGATTTTTTCTATACGGATGCAGGTTCTATTTCTTATTATTTGTTCAACTATGCGAGCATGCCAAGTGTCCCGACCCAATTTTTTTTAAGGTTCTTGAAGCATGGATCATGACTTAAAAACTTGAAACAGACCAAATTTGACTTTTAAAATAAAAAGATATATAAAATTCATACCATTTATATACAAATATATTGAGGTCCGTAAACAAAACAACTGAACATTAAATAATTGAAAACTCGATGTGGCTCTATATGTCACCGATGTGGCTCTATATGTCACCTACTCCAAATTTGCTCTGATCCTCACCTTAAAAACATGGAAAAAAAACTCCTTAAAAATATGGAAAAAGAAGATCTTGTTCTAGTTTTTTAGGTTTTGTTCGAAGTTCTTGTTCTTGTCCTAAAAACTTAGTTTCTTAGGTTCTGTTCTTGAGTTTACTAGTGGCGAAGAAGTGTTTTTAAACCTGATGGTTTTAGGTCACAGTTTTGGAAACGTTGATCTTTGTCCATATTCTTGTCCTGTACTTGGTTCTAGTCTCTTAGTACTTGGGATCCTTTAGACTTACATTTGGATGTGAATTACTATTTTGGTTCTAGTCACTATTTCCAAGAAAGCTTGTGTCAAGAAAGGTAAGATTTAAAGAAAATGGAAAAGAATGATAAACTGATCTAGAAATCGGGAAATTGATGATCATAGAATGCGTAGGTGACACGCATCAGGCAGGCTATAGTGAATGCGTTGGGCAACAACTAGGTCACGTGTCAATCGTCGGGTGGTGTTGCACAGATGCGTTGGGCAACAACTAGGTCACGTGTCAATCGTCGAGATGTGTCTTGTAGTTCAACTTGACCTATATATGTATTCGACCCACACATGATTCGATTCAGCCCCAGCTACACAAATCGTCTACCTTACCCAACTTGTGACCTACGTCCACATGAGTGCGACATGTGTTGTTACGAGAATAATTAGAGAAACTTCGCATGCAAAAGATTGAAAGCAGTCGTTATTGTACACATAACACTCTTAAAGATTTGTAACGACCCTAAATTTTCTCTTAAGCTAAAGTCGTTATTGTACACATAACATGAACATTCAATGCAGAAAACTCTCAATTGAAACTTTATAATAAAATTAACCTTAATCTTGCCGAAAAATCTCAATTGAAACTTTATAATAAAATTAACCTTAATCTTGCCGACATTTTAATACTCTTAAATTCACTAATACGTATGAAAATAAAACGAAAAGCAATACAAAATTAAATGTCCTATATTAACCTATATGTGCAAAAATAGAAATGTATTTAACCTATACTCACCTATAGTCTATTAAAATTGAAATATGAAACTATCCTAAGCATGTGTCATAGTATCGTAGATACGATGCCACCGTCAGCCGTACGGAAGAGCCTTGCTTTTACGTGAAAAGTAGAGTAACACATGACTTGAGTATTTTTAGAAATACTCAATAATTGACCTCCTATCGAGGTTAAATGCAAACACAAACAAGTTACATGAGACCTATCATAATAGTCTATTTCCTACCGCAGTTATCTTAACCGGCAACTTAGATAAAGCCACATGCAAAAAAAGAGAATAAGAAACAGTGAAAAAACGAAATAGAGAGAGAGGAATCTGAAACAACTCTAGCGAGTCCAACTAGAGAAAACTCGATGCCCACATGACCACAAACAATCCTCAAACCTCCACACGCTCCAGACAGAGAAAGCGTACGAGAGAGAGAGAGAGAGAGAGAGAGAGAGAGAGAGAGAAACGTATCGCAAATCCCCAGCACGGTCTTTGCTCGCACACTGTCTCGTGTCCCCCTCCCCCCTCCCCCCTCCCCCCTCGAGGTTCAGCCTCTCCTCGCTGGCACATTGCTCAGGCTCTAATACCATTTGTAACAGCCCAAGCCCAAGCCCACCGTTGGTAGATATTGTCCTCTTTAAGTTTTCTCTTTCATGCTTACCCTCAAAATTTTTAAACTTATAATGTCTTGTTCTCTCTCCCATCCGATCTGAGTTCTCAAAGGATCCCTCTTGACGCATATAACTTTTTTTACTAAGTCAAGCTTATTGACTCAAACGTCTAAATTGTTAAACAGTTAGATTGATAGAATGATATTCTTTCGGATCTAAAAAGGGTTTTACGGGAGAAAAAAAATATTTTGACAAGGAATGCTTACAAAGACACACCATCAATCCATCACTTCACACACTTCTAATACTATCACATGTCTATAACTAGACATCTTTATCCATCGAGAAATTTAAGATTGGGTTGAACAAAACAACGTAAAACACACAATTATTTGGTTTCTTTTAAGCCCCAAAGAAACAAATTACTTAATATGGTCGTTGAGAAGAAATGTTGCCTCGAGGGCTGTAGCTGCAAATCACAAAAGTACCACCATTGGTGCACTTAACTCTAGCACATCCCAGCTTCTTCGAACGTCTCCAAACCACCTGAGTGTAGGCTAGACAACTCTGATCACCAACACATTTATTGGACCTGTAATTGTAGAATCTCTTCTTGCTAACCCATAGCTTCACTGCCCCGACGCCTGTGAGGCTACGATCGCTGCTCCATGCAAGGTTCTCACCGTACGGGCCACCCGAGAGCACTAGCTTACAGTCACGCACACGTTTATTAGCATAGCTTTGAGCATAGGCTGCTAGTTTTCGATCCCAAAACAATGGTCCGACGCCAACCATTTTGCGAGCTGCATTGTGGGCATTGAGATAGTCTTTAGGTGAGTTTTGAGCGAGAGATGGCTTGACTAAAAACAATCCCAAAACGCAAAGGAGAGCGAAGGAAATCTTGAATACATCCATTTTGATGTGTTTTGCAAAATGTGATAAATGGTTTGGTGATGGAAATGGCTTAGAGAAATGGTGCATTTATATAACGTCTCGACTTTGTGATGATCGTTATTACATATCAAATGTTTTGAATCGAATATTAGACGTGTATTCAATAATCAATTAAAAAATAAAAAGAAATTAGAGACATTGACTTTGATAATGTTGATTTCAATACGTGTCATGTGTAAAATAATTTAATTCAAAAGTGATGAATATAAAAATAATAAATAAATCTTAAAATGAAGCCAATGATTGAGGAAATTCTTATTTATGTAATCATGTGTTCCTTAAAAAATGATCTCATTTGTCCTCATAGTATCAATTTTATATTCTCATTTTATAAATGTATTTTTTTTTGCTGTTATTTGTTTGAGATGATCTCTAAACAAAAATATCTTATTTATAATTATTTAATATATTTTTTAGGAGTATACCGGTTGAGTTAAAGAAATCTTTTAGACCAAATTAAAGTCTAGAATTAGTTGGATCGGAGATTCGAGCAACTTAAGCAGAATTCACAACTCAATCTAACATGTTTTTTTACCAAATCAAAATCTAGGGTTGGTTGGGTTGGGGACCCGAACAACCTGAATAGAGTTCGCAACTCGACTCAATCCAACGCTTTATTTTTTTAGTTGAGTTGGGTTGTTAGATTTTTGTAAGTTATTTAATTCTGCTTATCGAGAATACATGTTATATTAATAACGAAAATCTAATAAAGTTCAAATATCAAATATTGGTAAGGCCCAACGCATCACTAACATCAATTACAAACGTAAAATATTCTTAATCTTCGTAATAATCTTAAAAGTATGATAGAGTTGGATTGGATTACAATCCTATTTTTTAGTTGGTCGGGTTGACCCGATTAAAAAAAAAAAACTCATGTACTAATCCAAAATTTTAGTTTTGCGAGAATTCAACTCAATCCAAACAAAAAAAAAGTCTAATTCAACTCGACTTATATCGTTTTTGGTTTGGATTGAATAATCTAAATTGATCGGAATAGACGGCATGAACCAAAACTGTTCAATCTTATATTCTTATATATATTAAAAATAAATTAAAAAAAAAAACCTAAAAAAAACAAATAAACAAAAGTAGAACAAATGAACGGTATAATAAATTTATTAAAAAAAGAAAGAAAGGAGCCTCCTCCAAATAATTCACCATTAAGATAGTGCGGTTCATGCTTGAAAATTTTGCCATACAAATAATTTGGTTGGCCTAAATTATATATATATATATATATATTAATTAACTAAACTCCCTACCACTCGTACGCACGTCTAATTTTAACTAAGATTTGTTTTTTTTAATTAATTTCTTTAATAACTCATATTTAAATTCATTTTATGTACGTTACAGCTAGTCAAACCGGTCGTGTAACGACTCTAAATTTTCTACTTAATTTTAAGGTCGCTATGGTATATATATCCTGAACATTGAATGCGAAAATATTCATTTAAACTTTTATAAAACATAGACATGGACTTGCGTGTTTTGAAAATACCTTTCAGACAACCGAACAAAAGACTAAATAAAATAAATAAATGTTCAAATTAAAAACATTCTATTCTAGAATAAATGGGACTACTCTATGCATATATCATGGTCTCGAATTAGGATGAAATTGTTAGCCGTACAAGGATGTCTTACCTTTACTTGAAATACAAGTAGCATGTGGCTTGAGTATTTAAAGATATACTAATTAAGGGACCCACTATTAGGGTTAAATGCAAACATATACAATTTCACGAATGGGACCTATTATAACAGTTTGTTTTCCTACGGCGGCTATCCTAATAGACAGCTTGGATATGTAATTAATTTCATACACACGGCCCACAGTGCAAGTATGGACCCACTAGTAGGTTCGCGTACCTCCTGGACTCCTTTTCTTATCGAGCGAGCATTCTCTGGTAGCTCTCGATGCAGAACACCCGTTAGAAGTAGCAACCATCATGGCAACATTATGTCAAACATAATGATCGTTCTCCTGCCTAGTAGTGTATGCGTCCGAACTATCGTGAAGGAATAGGGGTATCCCCCAATGCATGAGCACACAATAATGCATGAGATCCCAACATTTTTCCATTTTTATTCTCTTTTAATA